GGTCCTGGGTGATGGTGGTGCCCAGGAAACGAAAGGACTGCAGAGGTGATGGGGGAGTCCATCAGGGAGGGGGGACAGAGGTGTTGGGGGAGTCCATCAGGGAGGGTAGGAGGGGGGACTTCCTGAAGTCCACAATCATCTCCACAGTCTTCTGGACGTTCAGCTCCAGGTTGTTACCACTGCACCAGGACACCAGCCGGTCCACCTCCTCCTGTAGGACACACCAGCTGGCCCACCTCCCTCCTTTAGGCGGACTCATCGTTGTTGGCAATGAGTCCAATGAGGGGGGTGTTGTCCGCAAACTTGATCAGCTTCACGGAGTTGTGGCTGGAGGTGCAGTGGTTGGTGTACAGGGAGAAGAGCAGGGGAGAAAGAACACAGCCCTGTGGGGCTCCTGTATCTATAATTTGAGAGTCCGAGATATTCTTCCCCAGACGCACTCGCTGCTTCCTGTCCGTGAGGAAGTCAGTGATCCACCTGCAGGTGGAATCGGGCACGTTGAGCTGGGAGAGCTTGTCCTGGAGCAGGGATGGCAGGATTGAGTTGAAGGCAGAGCTGTAGTCCACGAACAGGACCCTGGCGTTGGTCCCCGGGGAATCCAGGTGCTGTAGGATGTGGTGGAGGGCCAGGCTGATGGCGTCGGGGTACAGGAGGCTGGGGGAGGTGTCCGGGGCGGCAGCGGCGGCAGAAGAAGAAGAAGAAGGAGAAAGAAGAAGAAGCGATGTTGTTAGCTAAGCCGTAGCACCAACTGGAAACCACTCCCCCCTCCCCTCGCCTCTCCACCAGACCAAACATCCAGCATTTTCTTTTCTTTGTCACAACAGGGAGAGTGGGAGGCAAATGTGAAATTGGCATTTTCTGTTTAGCCATTTTAGGTTCTAGAAAATCCGAAAACTCTGGTGCACTCACGAGAAACAGGAAGAGGGTGAAGGGGGTAGATGCATCCCATTGGTTCGTTGGGGATGAACGAATCCCATTGGTTTATTTTTATCGGCCCGCTCTAAAATATGTGTTATTCGTTTTTGTAAACTACAGGCATCTGGTCAATTCAAATCAAAAATCACTGACTGCATCTTTAACTTGGAGATGATTTTACACCTGTGTCTTGCCTTTTCTTTTGTCCATTACATTGGACAAAAGAAAAGAAAACTTTCTGACTGGAAAGTTTAATACCTTCCACACACAGAAGCGTATCAGTGTTTGGGCACAGAATCCTTTGTCGGGGACAGGAGGAGACCCGACTGGGGCTTGGGCCGTAAAATAAAGGATTTATTTTAAATTTTCTTTTTTAGCAATAACAATATGGTAAAGCCAGTGTCAGTGCGTTTTTCCTTTCAAAATTGTGTGTGTGTGTGCGCTTCCCTTATCCTCATCCACATCCGGGACAGGCGTGACTTTTATGACCTGTTCTTTGCTTTTGTCCTGTGTGTGTGTGTGTGTGTGTGTGCGTGTGTGCCTGTGTGCGTAGAGACTCTGAGTGATCCATCATATGTTTAGAGTTTCTGTACGTCACATGTTTGACCTGTACTTGGGCAAGTTTCAGCCCAAGTACATTTGCAGTTTCAGCTGCAAATGTACTTGCAGTTTCAGCTTCAGAAATTTGCAGTTTCAGCTTCAGAAATGACACTGCAGTTTCAGCTTCAGAAATGACACTGCAGTAGATTCATGTTCATTATTCACCACTTCACTGAAAAGCCTCTGACTCCTGTCTTTGTCCTATGTTGACATAAAACTCCAGCTTTTAACATTAAAATGTTCTTTTTGTTATGACAAAATCTTGTGAACAGTTTTGGAGTCTACAATTTTGTAGTGGTGCGGTCATATATACTTTTGTACAGTAACTCAGTTATGTAATATTACTATTTACAATCAGAGTACAATACAATACAATACAATACAATTTATTCTTGTATAGCCCTAAGTCACAACTGAAGTCATCTCAGAGGACTTAACAAAACCATTGAAATCACCAACACAGGTCAGAGAATCAACAGTTAAAACACATGAAAAATATAAAGCACACACAGAAGAAAATGTCCATACATGTTGTAGAATGTTAAAGTGTCCTGATCTTAACTTCCACAGCTATGCAGATAATACACAGCTGTACATCTCCATGTCTCCTGACGACACCAGGCCAATGGATTCTCTTTTTAACTGCATTTTAGACCTGAAATCCTGGATGGCAGAAAACTTTCTCCAGCTCAACCAGGACAAAACTGAGGTTTTAGTCATCGGTCCTGAGGCCCAGAGAGAGAAACTTTTATCAAAACTCCAATCACACTCTTTTAATCCATCATCACAAGTGAGAAACCTGGGCGTAATCTTTGACTCTGAGCTGACTTTTATTCCTCACATCAAGAACATCACAAAAATAGGTTTTTATCATCTAAAGAACATCGCCAGAGTCCGCCCCATTCTCTCTCGGGGCAACACGGAGACGCTGATGCATGCTTTTATCACCAGTCGCATTGACTACTGTAATGCCCTGCTCTCTGGTCTTCCCAAAAAGAACATTTCAGGTTTACAATTACTCCAAAACTCGGCCGCACGTGTCCTGACTAAGACCAGGGGGCGGGACCACATTACACCGGTTTTAAAATCGCTGCATTGGCTCCCCGTGTGTTTCAGGATCGATTTTAAGTTTCTTTTAATGGTTTTTAAATGTCTTAATGGTCTTGGGCCTTCTAATCTTTCAGATTTGCTTTTATCCTATGAGCCTTCCCGGCCCTTGCGCTCCTCCGGCAGCAGACTCCTAACCATCCCCAAAGTCAGGACACACACTCACGGCGAGGCATCTTTCCAGCACTACGGCCCCCGTCTCTGGAACAGTCTGCCGGAGGAGCTCAGGGCCGCAGAGAACGTTCATATTTTTAAAAGCAGGCTCAAGACACCCCTTTTTAGATTAGTTTTTGATTAGTTTTTACTATTTCATTTTATATATTCTATTTATCTTCTATTATTTATTGTATTGCTATTGCTTTTATTCATGTATTGTGTGTTAGTTCATTTTAGTTTCAGATTTTTGTGTTTTACATATTGTATTGTTATTGTATTGTTTTTAGGTGTACCCAGTGTTTCCTAAAGGGAGGAGCCCTCACGGTGGGAGTGGATAGCCCTCTGCACTGGGTTCAAATCCCGGTTGGCGGCCTTTCTGGTGGAGTTTGCATGCATGGCTGTGCGGGTTTCTCCGGGTGCTCTCCCCTACCACTAAAAATATGTACAATAGGTGGGGGGCACCCCACTCCCAAAAATAACAATTGGGGACCTCAGTGAAAAGGCGGTATATAAATAAAGATTTTCTAATTTGGGTGCACGACTGATTGTTGTCCTGGACGCAGACTCTCCCACCTCAGCTGTAGTTATCTGCAGTTCATCCAGAGTGATCATGGGCCTCTTGGCTGCATCTCTGATCAGTCTTCTCCTTGTTTGAGATGAAAGTTTGGAGGGACGGCCGGGTCTTGGTAGATTTGCAGTGGTCTGATACTCCTTCCATTTCAATATAATTGCTTGCACAGTGCTCCTTGAGATGTTTAAAGCTTGGGAAATCTTTTTGTATCCAAATCCGGCTTTAAACTTCTCCACAACAGTATCTCGGACCTGCCTGGTGTGTTCCTTTGTCTTCATGGTTCTCTCTGCGCTTTAAACAGAACCCTGAGACTATCAAAGAGCAGGTGCATTTATACGGAGACTTGATTACACACAGGTGCATTCTATTTATCATCATCAGTCATTTAGGACAACATTGGATCATTCAAAGATCCTCACTGAACTTCTGGACTGAGTTTGCTGCACTGAAAGTAAAGGGGCCGAATAATATTGCACGCCCCACTTTTCAGTTTTTTATTTGTTAAAAAAGTTTAAATTATCCAATAAATTTTGTTCCACTTCACGATTGTGTCCCACTTGTTGTTGATTCATGACAAAAAATTAAAATGTGATATCTTTATGTTTGAAGACTGAAATGTGGCAAAATGTTGAAAGGTTCAAGGGGGCCGAATACTTTCGCAAGGCACTGTATCTCTTTAGCTTCAGCTGTACAGGAGTGTCTTTACAGCCACTTCAAGATTTAGACAGTTACAAATATGTTAAAACAAAAGTGTACTGTTACGCCTTTCCTGTTACAAGCCCCAAGACTGATGTCGAGGGGAGATTTGCAGCTCCAGGGCCGAAGGGGTGCTTTCCTCCGGGGCGTAATTCCCTTCTTGTTTGACCCTCACTGTTAAGTGTGGTGCGGATATAGGGACACGGACTGTTGCTCAAGAGTTGGCTTTATTATCTCTCCCAAAAACAACTACGCTCCCTGTCTTGCTCCGGTCGCACTCTCGCTCTTTCCTAGCTTTCACTCTGTCTCTGTCTACCGGCGCGCTCCCCACACACACACACACACACTACTCTGATCTCACAACACTACCCCCACCCTGGATGGCAATGACCAATTCCAATCCAGTAACATAATAGAAAACGGGTACACATTTCCCCTAATAGCAGGCCTGAGAATAACTAAGAGGTAGCAGTGTCCATTATAACTAAACAGGTAGGCTTCAATACAAGAAATGCTGTCTACTCAGTGACATATTAGCTTATTTAAGGCAACATGTGAACATCAGTGATTAATAAAAAAAAGGTAAATAATACACTTCTTAGTTATTGTGGCGACCGGGAGCAACATAAAACTGACTGATAATTACAAATAGAAAGTTACTTATACAGATTAAGCATGACTAAAGTGTACAGGTATAGAAATATACAGACTCTTGAGCATTCTTTTTTTTTTTCAAACTGCAAAAAATAGAAAAAGGTGCATTTAACAGATACACAGAACACAAGACAACTGTTTCAAAATATAAACTGCAACGTCTCTAGTGCAACTTCAGCCGTAGAATATAGTCTACTCGGTTAACCAGTCACCATACCGGTCCGGAGCTTGGCGCTGACGTCTGGAGTGCAGTTCCACAGGGCGCGGGGGGTGTGATCCTCCCATTGCACCCCCACCCACCATGGTCAAGTGTGACATGGGAAGGAGAGGATGGAAGGGACCCAACTGCATCGGATGCAGACAGAAGTGGCAGCTGGGCATGGCTAGCTCCGTCACTGAACACCGGAGAGAAGAGGCTCAGCAAACCGAGGTCCTGGTCAGCGGCTTCTTGATCTGCAGCACCCTGGTCAGCGACGCCTTGGTCCACAGCACCCCAGGCAGCGGTATCTCCGTCTGCGGCGTCCCCGTCAGCGGCGTCCCCGTCAGCGGCGTCCCCGTCAGCGGCGTCCCCGTCAGCGGCGTCCCCGTCAGCGGCGTCCCCGTCAGCGGCGTCCCCGTCAGCGGCGCCCCCGTCAGCGGCGTCCCCGTCAGCGGCGCCCCCGTCAGCGGCGTCCTCATACACGGCTGGAGGCTGGACCTCGGAAGCTCCAGCCGCTCACGCATTTGCTATACATATTCTGGGGTTGAAAGTGCACGGTCAGAGTCAGGGGGCAAGCCAGCTACAAGATCCACGGGTTCATTGATCTCGCATCCAAACATCATAAAGTTCGGTGTGAATCCTGTCGAACTGTGCTTGGTTGATCTGTAGGCCTTGACTGCATATGGGATCATTAAGTCCCAATCCCAGCGGCAACGTTCCGCAGTAGAGGCCAGGATGTTCTGGAGTGTGGCATTGAAACGTTCAACTTGGCCGTCTGACTGCGGTCTGAAGGATGTAGTGTGGGTTTTCTCAATCCCAAACAAAAGGCACATTTCCTGAAACACTTCTGACTCAAAGTTGCGTCCTTGATCGCTGTGCAGAGAGTGAGGCATTCCATAGCGACACACCCATTCAGTTGCTACAACTTTGGCCATTGTGACAGCCTTTTCGTCAGGGATTGGAAATGCTTCAGTCCATTTTGTGAAATACTCCTGTATCACAAGCAGTGTTGGGTGTAACGCGTTACTAAGTAACGCGTTACTGTAACGAAATTACAATTTGAGTAACGTAGTAGTGTAACGCGTTATTATGAAAATACGTTTCATTATATTACAGTTACTACCTAAATACTTCGTTACCGGCGGCACCGGCCTCGGGAAAGCAGGGGAGAACTGCACTACCGCTCCATGCGTGCCTGCGTGCTTACGTCACGCTGCGCACATGAGCGAGATTGTTTGTAAAGCAACATGGCAGAGTCAGAGGAGAAGAGTTCTTTTTACCGGTGGAGATATGCACACTATTTCAACTACATCAGTCAAAAAGATAAAAACGTTGTCGTGGAGTGCAAGCTTTGCGCGGGCAGCAAGCGATTGTCCACCGCAGCCAACTCATCCTCGAACCTTTTAAAACACTTGCAGCGTCAACACTCAACTGTTAAGCTAGTCGCTAAAGAGCGTCGCAGCGAAGCCGCCGCCGCCTCCTCCTCCTCCTCCTCCGACAGCACAACACCAACACGATATAATAAGCAAGCTCGACTTGAATTACGCTGTCAGGTAACCTCAAAGACTGAAATAAATAGACTTGTAGCGGCGTACGTTGTAGAAGAGATGCTGCCCATTTCTACTGTAGAGTCGCCGTCTTTCAGAAACATTTTACGCAAAATACAAACTGCGGATGGATTGGACAGTACAAGTGACAGAAAAACATTTGTAAACTATCTGGAGACGTGCTACAGCAAGATGGAAAGTGAGTTAAAGTCAACCTTTGAGAGCCTGGAATACATTTCGACCACTGCTGATATTTGGACTTGTCATAATAAAAGTTTCATGGGCATGACAGCACATTGGATTAACCCAAACAACCTCAAACGAGAAAAAGTAGCTATTGCCTGCCGAAGAATAAAAGGACGCCATACATATGACGTCGTGGCATGTGAAATAGAACGTATACATTCAGCTTTTGGAATCACTCACAAGGTAACTGCTACTGTGACAGATAATGGGTCAAACTTCGTAAAAGCCTTTCGGATCTACGAGGCAGCAACAGCATCTTCTGAGTCGGAGGAGGACGGGGGTGAAGAGGAGGAGGACAATGTTGTTTTTGCTGATCTCAATGACATCCTATCTAATGGCACAGCAGAAGGAGATTATATTCTGCCCCCTCATTTACGGTGTGCTGTGTGGCTGTCTGCAAATGCTGAGTCCAAAGCTGTGTACAGAAGTGCTACAGCCAAGTGCTCTGCCCTCTGGACCAAGTGTAGCCGTTCAACTGTAGCCTCAGAGCTTGTTGAGGATATATGCAAAAAAAAGCTAATTGTCCCAGTAACAACAAGATGGAACTCATTCCATGATGCCTTGACATGTATCCTCACTATTCCAATCCCACAGTTAAACCACTTGTGTGCTCAGTTAGACATAAGAGTCCTCTCTGAACGTGAACATAAATTTCTTACTGAATACTGTTCAGTAATGAAACCCCTCACCGTCGCCTTGGATATTTTGCAAGGTGAAGATAACTGCTACTATGGATGCCTTCTGCCAACACTAGAAGTGTTGATGTCCAAGATGTTGGCACTGCAACCTGGGCTCTCAAGAATGACTGCTGGTCTGCCAGATGTCATTGTGCAGGTATGTATACTTTACCTTAGTTTAAACTATAAAATAAATAATGCACTATTTTTTATGCTGTTGTACTCTTTTTACAGCAGCTAGGATCTTAACAGGTACCAAAAGGAGGGAGCACATAACTCCGGTGTTAAAATCACTCCACTGGCTCCCTGTGGAGTACAGAATAAAGTTTAAAATCCTACTCTTAACATATAAAGCCATAAATGGCTTGGCTCCTTCTTATCTCCAAGACACGTTAGTGTCGTATCAACCAGGTCGAGCGTTGCGCTCACAAAACGCCAGACGTCTGGTGGTCCCTAAGGTCTCAAAGGTCACTGTTGGTGGCAGAGCATTTAGCTACCAAGCTCCTTTACTGTGGAATCAGCTTCCCATTTATGTTAAGGAAGCAGATACGGTCTCCACATTCAAGGCCAGGCTTAAAGCACTTTACTTTAATTTAGCATATAATTAGGTAATATATAATATGTAGTGTATATATTATATATATATGCTGTATTATGTTATATATTATGTTATATATTATTCAATAATGTATTGTGTTATGTTGTATATTATGTTATATATTATGCTGTATGTTATTCTTTATTCAAGGCTAGGTTTAAAACAGTCCTCTTTAGTTTAGCATATGGCTAGGAAGGTAAGACTCGGAGAAGGTTAAACTCCTCAGAGTGTTAGTCAAGCTGCATAGGGAGTCAGTTTGCTGGGAGAAGTATGGTAACTTGAGCACTATCCTCTCCTCCTTCCTACTTTATCTGTTTAGCATTTTTAGGATTCTGACTGTAGTTTGTTCATTGCTATTCACCCGTTGTCCCATTGTCTGTTTCATGGTACGATGACGGGATCTCTGAGCCTGGCCTCCTCCATCTACACCTGTGGACTGCCCCGCCCGACCCGCCTGGGAGTGCTTCAGTCCTGCACCGGACCTGTCCACGTTCAGCGGCCACTGGTCCACGTTCTGTAGCTAGCTTAGGTCCTAGATCATTAGTCTGTCCGTCCGGAGGAGCGGATCCCTTTCTCATATGGGTCTCCCTCCCTGTGGGTTTCCCTAGTTCTCCTCCAAGGTTTCTCACTTTTTCCCACTGGGTTTTTTAAGAGTTTTTCCTTGTCGATGCAGGAGGGTCTTGTTGGACAGTTAGTGTCCAACAGAAAGGATTGGTGATGATCAGGACACTTTAGCATTCTACAACATGTATGGACATTTTCTTCTGTGTGTGCTTTATACTGTATTCTTCATGTGTTTTAACTGTTGATTCTCTGACCTGTGTTGGTGATTTCAATGGTTTTGTTAAGTCCTCTGAGATGACTTCTGTTGTGACCTAGGGCTATACAAGAATAAATTGTATTGTATTGTATTGTATTACATGCAGGCCATCAAGACCAGATTTGGGTCTGTGCTGGAAAACAAGGATGCTCGACTTGCTGCTGTCACACTGCCAAAGTTCAAACTGAGGTGGCTGAAAGAAGAGCAGAGGAAGGACTCTTTAAAGACACTGCTGATCACAGAATGCCGATCTTCAATGGACACACAAGAGGTGAATCCATCTGATTCTGAACTACAGGCTTCTTTGTCCTCCAAAAAAGGTGAAATTGACTTTTTTGCTTTTGAAGATGACCTTCCAGCTTCTCGTAACTGTGAAAGTGAAGTCTTTAGTTATTTCCAGTCAGGTTGCGAAATAGACATTCTCCACCAGTTTCCAAACATTAAGGCCTTATTTCTAAAACTGAACACAGCAACACCTTCAAGCGCCCCAGTAGAGAGGCTGTTCAGCCTGGGCAGCCTGGTGCTAACTCCAAGAAGGAATAGGTTGTCAGCTTTGAGAAACTATTGCTACTCAGGTACAACCATTACTTTGAAAAACAACAACATTAGAGTTAGTTGTTAAACAGTTAAACTGTTACTTTCTGCACTTTTGATATGTTAAAATGAAACTCAGGTTGTTGTTGTTTAAATAGTTTTATTTTATTATTTAAAAATGTTTTTTTTGCACTACCAGCCAGTAGTCTTGATGACTAAACTGCCTTAATTTAATTGTCCTGGCTGCTATAGTAATTTACTTTCGTTAATGTTATGCCATTTGAGCCAGTTTTGATTTGTTGTTGACCTTTATTTAAATGGCTTTAATAAAGCAAACATACAAACTTGATTCTGTTCTCTTTTTTGTGACACGAAGTAATCCAAAAGTAATGTAACTTAGTTACTTTCTTGGGGCTGTAACTAAGTAATGTAACTAATTACTTTTTTTAGAAGTAACTAGTAATTTGTAACTAATTACATTTTCAAAGTAACTTACCCAACACTGATCACGAGTATGCAGGGCTGGACTGGCCATCGGGCGTACCGGGCAATGCCCGAAGGGCCGATGCCCATATTTGGGCCGGTCTGTTTGCCTCATACAAAAAACATGTTTGTGAAAAGTGTAAATCCGTTGAGAAATGTTCGAGGGGAGCGCGCGTGTCCGCGGGGCTCCTGCTGTATGTACTCGAACGAGACTCCACCACCTCAGCGGCCGCAGTGTTCCCGCATCCAGCGGTTCTGAGCTGGATGCGGGAACCGCTCACAACACAACACGGTGAGCGTGTAGCCGCAACGTGACCATGTACCCAAGACCATAAACACGCACAGGACCATGCATGTCTTTGCGTAATTTGTGCACCCAATAAATACACCGCTGCAGAAAATAGTCCGCGTCTCCCTTCTCCTCTAAATTAAAGCTCGGGTACCTACATTTTCCATCGCATTAAAAGTTCATGTTTGAGCCCAAAAGTAAAATGTTGTGAACAGATTAAACAGATTTAGAGCCAGCTAGTGGCTGACATTATGCATTTCAGACATTTTTGACCAATTCTCATCCCTGTAACAAACAACAGTGTTGTCTGTGTCCACCTCCCTCACTCTGAGACATGTTTATTACTCTGTTTAATGTAGACTATTGTACTTTATTTTATTGTTGAAACTGCAGACATCCTGATCTCTACAGTACTTGCTTGCACATACTGTATACACCAGGGGTCGGCAACCTTTAGTGCCCCTAAAGTGGCTCC